TTAATGCTTTTCATTTTAACAAGGGTGACTCACTTTCACCCACACATTTCCTTATTTAAAACTTTACCCATTTAGGTTTTCTTGCATAAATCAGAATAAAAGTTAATACCAAAGAACATCCAGAAGAAAAATGTAAATTTGGTAGTCTATTTTGTCTTTTGTTTGTTTTTGACTTTGTCAAGAACAGAACCAGGAAAACAATTTTATTAAATAACAATATAATTATAAAGACAAGAATTTTGAAATACTTAAGAACTCTGATCAATTTAATGCCTAAACATGATTCAAAGACTCATGCAACCTATCTCCTGACAAAGAGGTAGACGGACTCCAAGTGCAGACTGATACATATTTTTGAATGTGGTTAGTTTAGGAACATGTTTTGCTTGATTGTAGGTATCTGTCACCAGAGTTTTATTTTTCTTTCTTTTTCAGTTTGCAGAGAAGGGGAGAAGGTAGGTTTTTACTCAATGAAAATTAAATAATTAAAAAAAAGATGTGTAACTTAGAATTATATAACAGTTATAAAATTGCAAAATCTTCTTCATGATATTCATTTACTCATTCCTAACTCTCATACAATGGAGGATTATCTTTAATGAGTAAAATCCTAGACAAAAGAGATTCTGCTCTTCTTTTTATAATGTCCTTCAATAAATTATACCAAGCAACACTGCAATTATAGTGCACCATTAATCCAAGAAAGGACGTATATTTTTCACAGACCAAATGAACAGTTTTCCAATAATATGGGTTAATGTGGTTAAATGAGTTAATATGGGTTATTAGAACATTGTTTTTCCAAAAGCCATAAAGAAACAAAAAGGATTTTAAGATGGAGATGACAACAACATGGATGAGAAGGAAGAGGAGGAAGAGGAAGTAAACTGTATAAGCAATTCTCTGTGATTTCTCAGTTGCTCTGGATTCTGTACATGACCAATAGCAACACCTTAGCAATTTACTGAGCTGCTATTTAGGAGCTATAGCCAAGTGGGTAAACCTAATAGGCAGAGTTACTGATTTCCTCTCAAAAGAAATCATGGCATCATACATCATGCCGGACTTGGAGTGAAGAAGACGTATGTTCAAATTATATTTCTAATAGTTAATAGCTACGCAACATGCTGAAAGTCTCTTGATCTTTGGAACCCCGCCTGCAAAATACAAAGGCAGTATGGTTTGGTGGATCTCAGGGTCAAGAAGTCCTGGGTTCTAGTCCACCCTGAAGTAAAATGGCTGTGTGACCTTGAGCAAGACACTTAATCTTTCAGGGTCCCAGGCTATTACAGTCCCAGACTTAAGTTACTGAGCAGGTGCTAAAATGAACTAGTAAAGGATGTTTCCTTAGTAGGTAAGGATAAAATCACAGGCCCAGTTTTTAAAATATGGGAGGGGGATAATAATAGCTTTAGTGCTTTCCTCACAGGGTTGTAGTGAAGATTAAATTAAGATAACATGCATCAAGTGCTCCGGAAACTTTACACGGCTATATAGGTTTCACTTGTGTCCAAATACCAATGCTGGTACATTGAAGGGTAATAAAAGATGTATATAAACATCTGATTCTAATTTGGCTCTAGTACTAAAGCGGACGAGGGGTAACGTCTCTGTCTTTACTTCCAAAATCATCAGACAACTTAGGAAACTGTCAAAGGTTCCCAAAATCTCACAATTCTACTGCAGACACATAAAAAGTAAGTTGGCTTCATCAAGATAAGCCAAGATGGTGATATTTTGACATCTGGAAAACAGCATCTACACCATAAAATAACACAATTATATAAGCAAAATATAAAATTCAAAATCCTCAGTTTTTAATTCAAGGCTCTGCGCAATCTAGCCCCAACCTCTATTTCCCATCTGACGTGCTATAATGAAAAGCTACTAGATAAATAGGGAAACGGGGTTCAAGTTTTGTCTCTTCTGCTTATGACCTATGTGATCTTGAGGAAGTGTCACTGCATTTTCCTGGGCTTTTCCAACTCTAAATAATACAATCCTTTAGAAGGAAAATGGTGGCATGAAGTAGAAATAAGAGCACTAGAGCTGAAATAAGAAAAACTTGGGTTCCAGTCCTAGTTTTGTCACTTATTTATGGGGCCTTAGGCAAGCTGCTTAATTTCTCTGAACCACAGGAATAACAGTTACACTTTATTCCTTACACAGTTGTGAGGAAAAGTACTTTGCAAACTTTTAAATACTATTTAAATTATTATTATAAAAATCTTATGTTCTAGGCAAAGTGGGTTACTTCCTTTTCTTTTTTTTCTTTTTTTTTTTCTTTTCTGCCTGTCAAAATCCTATATATCTTTTAAGACCAATCTCAAAAATCATCTTCATGAAAGTTTTTCTGATCTCAGCCAAATGATATCTCTCTCTTGTCTGGATTCCCATAGTACTTTGTTTATACTGCTCCTAAGGTATCTGTCTTACCCCTCATAATACATTTTAACACTCATTGAGAGCAGAAAACTTTTGTAATTCCTGGGGTGCCCTGCAGTAGATGCTCAATAAATTTTTGTGAAATTGTCAAATACATTTTTTAAAAAATTGATCCAACATAACATCTGAGAAGAGACAAAACTATCAAGAATTGTGAGACTTAAAAGTAACTTCTAGGCAACAAGTGCTAACCTATCAGATCCTTGTTCTTCATAGAGCTTGGTGAGGCTTTACAACCTCTTATAATCCAACTTAAAACTTTTGAGTTTACATGCCATTAAGAAATTTGGCACCTACAGCTAAAATGCATTTAAGTTACGGGACAGCTATTTGATCCTGAGCAGTGTGGTATAAAAGAATTAATAATGAATTTAGGTGAGTATGCTTCTAATTTTCTCTTTATTATCTAAAGTTCTATCCAAACGTGAGTAAGTTACTTAACTCCTCCAGGGCTGTTCTTTCATTTGTAAAGATATCAACTAGATCACCTCTAAAGTCATAGAATCATATAGAGCTGGAAGGGACTTTTATTAGCTGTTTAGTCCAGAAATAGTCTAACTATTTTGTGTCCTGGATCCCTCTGACAGTACGGTGAAGCCTTTTCAGAATAACACTTTTTTCCTATATTCATAACTGAAATTCTAATCTAACCCCCTCACTTCATAGTTGAAGAGACTGGGTCCCAGCAAGGTTAAATGACTTGTATAAGACCATGCAGGTAGTTAAAAGCAGAGGCTGGATTAGATCTCAGTTCCTCTTATTCCAAATACAGCACTCTTTCCACTATATCACATTGCCCCTTAGGTTTCTTACAATCCTAAGATTTTTTTATACATTCAAAGGTTGGACACACATCCATGAGAATATTTCAAGGATTTGTGATTTCATCAGTGTATGTATTTTCATTGACAAATACAGGCATACCTCATTTTGTTGCCCTTTGCTTTATTGCACTTCACAGATACTACATTGCTGTGTTTTGTTTTCATATTGAAGGTTTATGGCAAATCCTTGTACTAAGCAAGTCAATCAGTGCCATTTTTCCAACAGCATATGCTCACTTCATGTCTTTGTGTCACATTTTGGTAATTCTCACAATATTTCAAACTTTCATTATTATTATATCCATATGGTAATCTGTGATCAGTGCTCTTTGATATTACTATTGTAATTGTTTTGGGACACCATCATATAAGACGGTGAACTTGACTGTAAATGTAGTGTGTGCTCTGACTGTTCTACCCACTGACCATTCTCCCTTTTCTCTCACTCTCCTTGGGCCTCTCTATTCCCTGAGACAAAACAATACTGAAATCAGGCCAATTAATAACCATATGATGGCCTCTTAAGCGTTCAGGTGAAAGGAAGAGATAATAAATGCAGCAAACTTCACTGTTGTCTTATTTTAAGAAATTGCCACAGCCATCACAACCTTCAGCAACCGCCACCTTGATTAGTCAGCAGCCATCAACATCAAGGCAAGACCCTCCAATAGCAAAAAGATTATGATTCACGGAAGGCTTAGATGATGGCTAGTATTTTTTAGCAATAAAGTATTTTCCATTAAGCTATGTACATTTTTTAGACATAATACTACTGAACACTTAATAGATTACAACATAGCGTAAACATAACTTTTATGTACACTGGGAAACCAAAAAATTTATGTGACTCATTTTATTGTGACATTCGTTTTATTGCAGTGGTCTGGAACTGAACTTGCAATATCTCCAAGGTATGCCTTTACTGAAATCCTTCTATGTCTTAGTAGACTAAGCTCATTAATTACTAAAAATCCTGTGGCCAACCGAGTAATAACTCTTCCTGAACTTAGCTATCTTGTTCCTCAAATGGCAGAAGTATAATTCATTATGAAGGCCACACACAAAGCCTTTTCAGTTTGTACACAAACTCTGAGTTTTAATACATCTTGTATTCTTCTAGCCCAATCCTCAAGAACCCATATGGATTACTTTGATGGTAGAAGGAGGCACTGGAATTGGACATGAGTAGACTAATATTGATTAGAACATTAAGACAAAGATGTTACAGGCCTGATAGGAGCCACAGTTTATCTACCACAGTTTATCTATTGGGTCCCTTAAATGTTTTCATAATTAAATTTTTTGAGTAACATAACTTTGCAAGTGATATTTATGCTATCTCCCCAGAATGGATTATAAATTTTTTGAGGGAAGAAACCATCTAAATCCTAAGTGCTTACCACCTTATTGCACAGACAGTGCAAAACAACACTATCAAATCAACAACATTTTCTTCTTGTCCATTGTGTATAGCTTTCAGGCAGCACTGCCTATCTCAATGTTCTGGCCCTTGGAATCAAAGTAGATACTACCAGGGTCAACTTTATAAGCAGAGAATTGTAACCTCTCTTGACATATGTTAGGCATCCATTGGCAGTCTGACTTTGATCAATATTCATTAGTGAATATGGTAATCACAATTCTATAGGATACACCGAAATAAAACTTTTTAAAAGGAATGTTGAAATGATTCTTTAGTAGAATATTCCCCATGTCTACAATGCTAATTACCTTGGTTTCTATGGATTGATTCTGCTTCTCAAGTTCAAGTGGGCTTTCTTCATCTTTTTCCTCTTCCAGAGTGGCTTTCATTTCAATGTGTTCTTTTCCCAACAAAAGCAAAGGGTTACTACTTGAAGTCCTGTGACAACTATTTAGAGTACTTCCTCTGCGGATATCTGTTGTGGGTAAAGAGGAACTGGTAACTGTTCTGTCCTTTTCTCCATTTGCCAAGCTATTATAGATGGCAGATTCCAAAGTTTGGATGTTAGCATCAGGGCTAACATCAGGGAATTTATTGTCTTCACATTCCATCTGTTTTTGTGCTCCAATCACACCATTGACTGTGTGTTTCTGTACATCCTGAGTTTGGTCTGTATTGGTTTCCTGTTTCTGAAGTGGATGTTGAGATAGGAGTTTTGGCTGAAGGACTGTTGTCAACCCATGTCTTCCTTGAGCTCTAGAAACAGTTTGACTAACAGAAGGTTCTTTCTTCAAATCAGTAGAATTGGATGATGTGCTAAAAGACAATAAAGGGGAAGCATGTAAACTTGGGAATGGAAAAATTCTAGCATAAATGAATGCTTGTTTTAGTTAAAAATGGATTTATGCAACCTTGCTTCATGAGAACCTTTTTTTGTTCTTTTCAATCTCAGAAGTATTAATCAGAGAAAAGTGATAGTATGAAAGCCTTATACCATACTTAAGTAAACACTCAAATTTCCCAGTCCAGAGTAATTCTCAAACTATGAACCATTTCTTTGAGTAGTAAATTCCTATTCTAATTAGCAAAATTTTCTAGTGAAGTGAAATGAAATCTAAATGAGAAAAAAAAATACAAGGTTTAAGTATAAAAGTAATTAGAAAAAATACAGAGCAGTCAATAGCCAATTCTCAGATACAGTGTCCCAGAAGTTTCTTTTTGCGGTACTTTGGAACTCAGAACCCATCCTCCCATCTGAAAGAACGTTATACATGATGGTTAAGTTCCCAGGCCAGGCCACAAAACCCATTTAACACATAATATCTTTGAATGTAATACTGTACTACAATGTCTCTATGGGAAGGTGAATTCACAATTTTATAGTACTATGTGAATGTCAACTCTTACTATATCAATAAAATATTTTTCACATCTGGCAGTAAACAAAGGTCCCAAATTCTGAGAAATGATTAAGTAACTAATTGTTAATATTGGGGAGACACAGCATTTATCCCTTTCTGAAACCTTATTTTCTACTAGGCCAAGCCAGCATCTGAAAGACATTGCTGATAATGACCCTGGATTAACTTTCTTCTCAAATCCTGTTCAGACCCCACCCAGGTGGGGAAAGCCCATTGTGTTCTACTCAGGTTTGAATAAATTCTTTGATTAGATTGCCCAAGGCTGGGGGTGATTTGGAAGTAAATGACCTGATCAAAGTCACATCCCCCAGCCCACTGCTTAGGGCTAATTTTGGAAATAAGAGAAAGGGAAAAAAAGAACCAAAGCTAGGGTGTGGGGGTGGCAACGGGTACTAAGCAATAGCTATGTTTGTGAGCAGTAGAGAAAGGAGAATTACTCTTGTGTTTACACCTGTGGTATAAATTAGGGTCTACATGAATAAATGTGATTTATTTAAACAGGGACTTCCTTTTTTCCCCTTCAATCAATAGCAAAGAGAGAAAATTTCTTGCAGCTAGACATTGGCTTCTTACAGGCATGTATTCCAACCAAAGTGTGCCTGTATAAATATCAACAGGAATAGACTAGCCTGGCCACAGTTCTTCATCATTTCTACTCATTACTACACCCTAAGGAGCTCTTAGCTCATCCTAGAAGGCTGTAGGTTTATCTCAAAACTGCAGTCAGGGCTGGCTTAGAGAACCGGGTCTGGCACTTAACTGCCTCAGAGGTTACTCTTTAGGTCTATACAAGTTCTTAGGTGCTTCCTGGAAATTCAAACCAAACTAACTTCTCTTTTATCTGTTATTCCAAGGCTCCTCTGGTCCAAGTTCTAAGAATACTTCAGGTTTTGGGGAAGATACCTCTGTGTTCTGAGTTTAGGATGGGCTATATCCTGTAATGATTGCTATTATAACAATACTTTACATTTGCATAGTATTTTAGTATTTTTAAAGCAATTCTGCACATGATTAGGGCAGCTTTTCAGTACTGCTGGGAAGCTGATACTTCCTATCCAACTCCTAATGGCAACATGGGGCCTGGTTGACTACTGGGCATTTTTACGGTCTGTCTGCTGTGACTAGAATGCTCTTCCTGCTCATCTCTGCCTTCTGATTTCCCTCACTTCATATCACAGCTAAAACAGAAAACCTTTCCTGGTCTCCCTTAATGCTAGAGATTTCCCTTGTTGATTACTTCCAGTTTGTCCCATACATAGCTTGTTTGTACATAACTGTTTGCATGTTTTTTCTCTCATTAGCCTGGGAGCTTTTTTTTTTTTAGTATCCCCAGGGCTTAACACACTGCCTGGCACATCACAGTTCCTTTAAAAAAGTTTACTGACTGACTTACCTCCTCAGCTACATACAGTGTTATTCTTAGGTACAATGTCTACTCTAAAATTTTATGTTAGTTTCCTGTGTTAGTAAGCTGCCTACAAGTATACACATGTCCAAAAGGACTTCAGTATACTTTACTCTTGCACAGAGAGGACCCTGAGTTACTGAACTCTATTTTAAGTCCAGGCAGGTTGTAACATCTGAAATGTAAATAATTTGATTCTCAACAAAGACCTCAGTTCTTCTGAGGCACAACAAGTATTTTTATGTATTTTATCTATGACCTGAAGGTCAGGGAATGTAAGTGGTTGGTCCTCGGCTGTTAGAGGATTTTACTCAAGTGGTAGAGTCAGACACCCAAGTTAAGTAGTCTTTGTACTATACTATACTGCTGCCCGTGGACCAGAAATACATAACACACTGCTGCCTCCCTGAGTTTCAAACTATGAGGAAAAGCAGCAGCCCTTCTGATCTACTGGAAAAAATGTAATAGCGAAATCTAAAAATGATTAAAACTATAATGTCAGTCTTATAATGATAAGAAACAGGCATAGGTTTAAAAATAAATTCCCTCACTTCAACATTTATATATAATGACAACAACAATTGTAAAATACTTTACATTACAAAACACTATTTCATTTGACCCTCACAACAATCCTGGGAGATAGGTGCTATTTATAAACCCTATTTTACAGATGATGAAATGGAGGCAAACAGTTTTAAATGACTTGCCTAGACTCGTACAACTATTAAGTATCTGAGGTTGGATTTGAACTGAAATCTTACTGACTCCAGGTCCAGTGCTCTATCCACTCATATACCACCTAGCTGCCTTAAAAAATACCAAGGAAACAACAATGTAAAACCATTAAAGATATATTGATTTAAGGTGGTAGAGACCATTTCCCAAACCAGAGAAAACAGTTTAAGTATGCAGTTTTGAAGGAAAGTTAGTTCTTCCTATCCAACTTTCTGTGGTAACACAGGGCCTGGCTCACCTACTCTGACAAACACTACATGTTACTATTTTTAGCTTCCATGACACCATTAAAAAGTAGAAATTTAAACAATAAAACACATGTAAATATCAAGTGTCTGTTTCTCATTTAGTGAGGTGCTCACACAATTCTTTCACATTTACTTCATCAAATATTCACCTAATCCACCCAGAGTTTTTAGAGGAAGTTCCTACTTCAAAGAAAGATTGTGCTAAAACTCTATACAGATATATCTATATAAATTCTCAAATATACATGACTATGTCCAAAAGTCCTAATCTTGATACCCCATTACATTGAAGAGGGAACTTAAAATTAATGAAGGTTACACTAATGCGACATAAATTCTTGTAGGTTCTATAAGATGGAATAGTGACAGATTTTTTTTTCTACTCTCTGAGGATGTAACTAAGTATAGAGAGGCGAGGTTCCTCACAGGAAGGTCGGACAGCAAGCAATTAAGTTTTTTGTCCACGGTGACCAATTAATTGGATGAAAATACAAAAAGATCCTTAGAATACTTCAACAGTACTGATGGTGATGTATCAGAAAAGAGGGTGGTAATGACAGATATTGCTCTGAATCACAGTATAATGTTTTAGAAATATTAATTTAATAAACCAGAATGATACAATGCTAGGGTGGCATGGAAGGGATTCAGTTTGCACAGGTGAAGAATAACCCACACTGATAATCATAGTCCATCATAATATCCAAGGTATGTAAGTGTATTGGGGAGAGGGATTGTTTATAGATAAAGGAAATGCTGAACCCATAGTATATCTGGAATTCAGCAAGGTATTTGACAATATCTCTCATGATTTCCCAGCAGACAAGGTAAAGAGATGTGAATTGGATGATGTTACACTTAGGTGGATCTGTGATCTATGACCAAACAGACCAAAAGAGTATAGGTATTAATGCATCAATACTGGCTTCTGGGGAGATACGTAGCAAAATTACATACAATTCTTTGTTATTGGGCCTGTTTTTTGAGGGTTTTTCTTTTTAAATCTTGCATGAAGTCATTAATTCACTTAATGAATCTGTAAATGGCCATGATAATCTAGAAGAGCGGGCTAAATAGGGAAAAGAAAAGGAAATAAGCATTTACTAAGAGTCTGTGCCAGGCACTGTGCAAAGTACTTTACAAATATTTCATTTGATCCTCAAACAACCAAATGAGGTAGATGCTATTAATATCCCAATTTTATAGGTGAGAAAATTGAGGCAGAGAGATGTTAAAATGACTTGCCCAGATATTGAAATTAGGTCTTCCTCTAATCACTGCACCACCTAGTTGCCTCAAAAGCTAGTATAATAAAATTAAATACGAACAAATATAAAGCACTCCAATTGGGTTAAAAAATCAACAGCTCAAGAAGAGGTAAGATACAAAGTAGTTTACATGAAAATTTTGTAGGGTTTTCATACACTATGTATCAGAACTATGATGTGGTAGCCAAAAAAATTAACATATTCTTAGGATAAATTAATAGAAATATTGGTTTGACAGTAAATAAAGTGATCATCTTACTATACTCTGACCTAGTATTACATTTTAGGAATGCTCATGGGCCCTTGATTGTGTACTGAGAATGGAGCAAGGTCCAAAGCAAGCAGGCACTATGTGGTTCTTACTCTGACCCTGACCTTAATACAGAGTCAAAAGTCAGGAAGAAAGGCTGGAAAAATAAGCAAGCAAGCAATCAAACAAAAAAGAATTCCAAAATAAAAAGTGATCATGGTGGTGATGTTCACACATTTCAGTCATGTCTGCCTCTTTCTGATCTCATTTGGGGTTTTCTTAGCAAAGACAACGCCATTTCTTTCTCCAGCTCATTTGGTGACACAAACACAGACTCAGAAGAGAATAACTACAGAACATCTACAAGTAAAGACTCAAAGAAAAACAAAGACTGGATGCAAGTTCCAACTGGGGAATTCCTGGGGAAAAAATGAAGATTTTTTTTTAAGCTAAAAATGATTATTATAAATGAAAGAAGAGCAAAAA